GTCCCCGTGCAAGCCCATGGGAAGGTGGTGTGATGCGGGGGGAGTGGGCGATGTTGGGGCGAGGGACCGGCTCTCCTGCCTTTAAATAGTGAAGGAAAAGTGAATCCATTCCCAGAAGGCCGACCGCTTAGGCAGGGTGAGATAGTGGTGGGGAAGGAGGTGCAGTCCCCCCCTTTCCTGTCTCATGCTCCCGGAGTTCAGGCTTTTTCCATACGGATAAACGGCCTTGCAGGGACCCCCCAGTTGGGTGATAACCTGGAGCGAGGGGCTCAGGGGCAGAGGGGCGGCTTTTTCGGGTCCGGTGTTCCCGGGGTGGGAAGAGGGAATTGATGGAGCTGGTGGCTCCTGTGTGGCTCTTGTGGCACCCTGACCCGACACCCTGCTCCGGTGTGGGCACCGCCTGATGGATCGTTGAAATTAAAAAGGAATAAACCACTGGGGGAGACAAACGTCTGACGCAGAGGCGGGGATGGAAGCGAGAACTGGGGGAAATTCAAGCCCATAAATCACAGGGTGCCATCCCTGTGAGGAGGGTCCCTGCCACGGCCGGGGGTGTCCCGAGGGGTCCCCGGCACAGCTAAGGGCTGCGGCTCCCGTGGGTGCCAGGAGAACTTCTCAGCGTCGGTCCCCGGCTCCATCCCTCCCACCGGACGGGTGCAGAAGGACTTTTTCCACGGGGACAGAGCCGGGGGGAGCCTTTCCCGGGACCGTACCCCGATGCTGTGGGGTGAACCCCCCCGCTGGCACCCGCTCCGGGTGTTGGGTGCCAAAGCTGCCACAGATTAATTACCTGCTGGTTCCTGATCTTGCAGCCATGGTGGTTTTGGAGATGGATAATTAATTACCTTCTGCTTTTAATTACTGCTGGCGGGGTGACGCTGTTGGCAGCGTTCGTGTGTCCGCGAGGGGACTGGAAGGTTGTGGAACCGCATCTCGTGTCGGCAGCGTGGATGCATCCCGGCTGGTCCTGGAGATTCAAAACCGCTGGGACATGAGTCCGTCGGTGCCAGCAGCTCCTCTGAACGATGGAATTAAGTTACAAGGAAAAAGAAGGAGGATGAAGAAGGACAGTGGTAGGTGACACCGGGAAAGGGACAGCTCTGCCCAGGTCCTGCACCCAGGCTCGCCCCTTTCTGGCTCCACTGCTCCTGGCTGAAGGGGTACTGGGGGTGTCCCGCTGCCGTGGGAGCGTGGATTTTGCAGGGATGCTGCTCCTCGACTCCAGCGGTGGCCCCGCCACAGCTCCTGCGTGCCCACACATGCCCATCACCATCCCCATCGCTCCATCCCCGTCACCCCGTCCCCATCACCCTGTCTGTCCCCATCACCCCGTCCCCATCTCCCCGTCTGTCCCCATCACCCTGCATCCCACAGCACTTTCACCTCGTGCCACTCCCACCAGTTGCTCCCAGTATCACACCAAGACCAGTTACTGGGACGAAGCCGGCAGTTGGGGTGGGAGCTGTGGGGCTTCTTGGGTGGGACAATTCCCCCTCCCCACCCGCCACCAAATGAGTTTTTTAATTGTTTGATTTACTTATCTCATCTCTGATGGGCTGATCTACTCTGCTGCCTTTTAATTGCTTCAAAAGTTGAGCAGTTTTTCATGTTTTAAGGAGTGCTGAATTGTATAATTAAAACACTAACAGTGTAAATCAACAGTGCAGAAGAAAGACAGCAGAGAATTAAGCAAGCTTCTTGGCATAATAATAAAACCAAACCGGCATGAAAAGTGCCCATTACGGCACCGACGCCGAATACAAATGCTCGGCCGAGGGGAGCGAGGCACCGTCCGGCCCCGGCGAGGGGCTACAGTCGCCGGCACACCACGACGGCCTCCAAAATCGCCTGGTTTTGGCCCAAAGCGCAGCATGGCCTCACCATGGGAACTTGAGATGGAGGGAGGTGTGTGGGTCAGGCAGTGGCTGTCCCCCCCGCCCCACAGCCCCTGCGCCCCCCCCCCTGCGCCCCCCCAGCAGCATCGTTCCCGCTCCTGCCTGGGAACGGATTCACTTTTACCTTATTAATATTATTTAAAAGCCGAGTGGGTGTATAAATCAACAAAAATAATTCATGAGAGTCATTAGCTCCTCAAAGACGGGATCTTTTTACGACTGGCTTTAAATTAAAAAAAGGAAAAAAAAAAACCAAACCCAAACCCATCACATTCTGAAACTGCGGCTTTTAAAACACATCAAATACATTTCCTCCCTGCCTCCCACCGGCCCGGCTCCTCTGCCTAATGAAATTCAATTAGCATTCTTAATTCACCCGCTGGCTACCAGTTTTATATTAAAAAATCTTTCTGGTTCTGCTTGGGAAGCGCCGTGCCAGGATCGCGGTTGTGTTTAACCCACCTCCCCCCGGCTTGGGGGCACCGCGTGGTCCCCCGGCACTGGGTTTGGTGAACAGCACGATGAGGAGCCTTCTTCCTCCTCCTCCTCCTCCTCCTCCTCCTCCTCCAGTGTCTCCATGAGGCTCTGGCGAGGTGGATGTTGATGGAGCCACATGGAGGAAACGCGGGATGCCGGATCTGGTACCCACACTGAGCCCGGCGGGGCCACATCCCCTTGGGGACACTGTTTTGGACTATTTCCTCTAACAGAGGGGAACTCGGGGGACAGGAGGGGGAGGACTCTCTTGAAGTGGAAAAAAAATAAAAATGAAGAGGAGTTTGGAGAGAAAAAGGGTAAAACAGCAGCAGGGCAGGGGTGGATGATGGGTGAGTGCCAGTGGGGAGAGCTCCTGGGCCAACATCATGCGGTCCCACCGCAGCCAGGTGGGGCTGGGGGTAGGGACAGGCCCTAGGACAGGTCCAGGGTGAGACCTCGGGTGCTTGGCTGGGGGCGGCACCGAGTCCCGCTCTCACCCTGCGCGCCCGCAGCTCGCTTTGCGCGCTCGCCCGAGAGCCGAGCGAACCTGCCGGGCTGGGTGCGGAAGGGCGCTCCGTCACAGCGGTGTTTACACGCGTGAGGGCAGCCGGATTTTCATGATGCGTAATTACACTGTCCTTAACGGAGTTGCGAGCCATTTTTCCTGGTGGAGGGAGAGAGCGGCGGCGGTGTGGGAAGGGGAACCGCAGCTCGTCTGTGCGTCAGGGTGAGCTCCAGGCTATCGGACTGGTGCCGATCGTGCGGATGCTCGCTGCAGCCGTGGGGTGAACCGCAGCAGCGTTGCGTGCCCACCACCCGGACCCCGGGGGCCTCACTCTGCACCCCGGGCTCCAGCGCATCCTGCTGGAAGCTGAGCGTCTCCGCTTCTCCCCATCCCCAGCACACCCTGGTGACTGGGGAGCACTCTGCCCACCCAAAGTGTGGGTGGTTTCCTTCTCCTCTTGCTCTTCCCAGCGATAGGACCATCCCCTGCTCACAGACGCCGTGCAACACCTCCAGATGTTTGCTCCTACCTTCCCGCAGCAGCGCTGCCGATGTCCCCCGAAGGACGCACAGGAGAGCCAGCCCTGGGCAGTCCCCAGAGGAAAACCCCACGGTTTCTGGGTCCTGCGGCTGGTTAGAGCGTGGGAGGCATGGCTTGTCCCCCGGGAGGCGATGCGCCAGCTGCACGTCAGGAGACATGCAGGAGATGTGTCCACAGAGGCGCATGGTCCCACCTCGGGCACCCCAGGGAGCTGCCTGCGCAGCTGCACCCCACGGCTGCTGAGCCGCGGGGCAGACCACGATGTGCATGGCTGGGATGCGCATGGCTGGGATGTGCATGGCTGGGATGCGCATGGCTGGGATGTGCATGGCTGGGATGCGCATGGCTGGGATGTGCATGGCTGGGATGCGCATGGCTGGGATGTGCATGGCTGGGATGCGCATGGCTGGGATGTGCATGGCTGGGATGCGCATGGCTGGGATGTGCATGGCTGGGATGCGCATGGCTGGGATGTGCATGGCTGGGATGCGCATGGCTGGGATGTGCATGGCTGGGATGCGCATGGCTGGGATGTGCATGGCTGGGATGCGCATGGCTGGGATGTGCATGGCTGGGATGCGCATGGCTGGGATGTGCATGGCTGGGATGCGCATGGCTGGGATGTGCATGGCTGGGATGCGCATGGCTGGGATGTGCATGGCTGGGATGCGCATGGCTGGGATGTGCATGGCTGGGATGCGCATGGCTGGGATGTGCATGGCTGGGATGCGCATGGCTGGGATGTGCATGGCTGGGATGCGCATGGCTGGGATGTGCATGGCTGGGATGCGCATGGCTGGGATGTGCATGGCTGGGATGCGCATGGCTGGGATGTGCATGGCTGGGATGCGCATGGCTGGGATGTGCATGGCTGGGATGCGCATGGCTGGGATGTGCATGGCTGGGATGCGCATGGCTGGGATGTGCATGGCTGGGATGCGCATGGCTGGGATGTGCATGGCTGGGATGCGCATGGCTGGGATGTGCATGGCTGGGATGCGCATGGCTGGGATGTGCATGGCTGGGATGCGCATGGCTGGGATGTGCATGGCTGGGATGCGCATGGCTGGGATGTGCATGGCTGGGATGCGCATGGCTGGGATGTGCATGGCTGGGATGCGCATGGCTGGGATGTGCATGGCTGGGATGCGCATGGCTGGGATGTGCATGGCTGGGATGCGCATGGCTGGGATGTGCATGGCTGGGATGCGCATGGCTGGGATGTGCATGGCTGGGATGCGCATGGCTGGGATGTGCATGGCTGGGATGCGCATGGCTGGGATGTGCATGGCTGGGATGCGCATGGCTGGGATGTGCATGGCTGGGATGCGCATGGCTGGGATGTGCATGGCTGGGATGCGCATGGCTGGGATGTGCATGGCTGGGATGCGCATGGCTGGGATGTGCATGGCTGGGATGCGCATGGCTGGGATGTGCATGGCTGGGATGCGCATGGCTGGGATGTGCATGGCTGGGATGCGCATGGCTGGGATGTGCATGGCTGGGATGCGCATGGCTGAGACGTGCAAGCTCAAGACGTGCAAGCTCGAGACATGCATGCCTGAGATGTGCAAGATGGAGACATGCATGGCTGAGACGTGCGTGGCTGGGATGTGCATGGCTGGGATGGAAGAGCTCGAGACGTGCGGGGCTGAGAAGAGGCTGAGATGAGCGTGGCTGAGACGCGCACGACGGAGCCATGCATGCAGCTCGAGTGCTGCGTGCCCGAGCAGCGCACGCCTGAGACATGCCTGCCCGAGCCGTGCATACCGGTGCCTGACAAGTGTGCTCCAGACGTGCACGCCGAGCAGCGTGTCCCTGCGCTGTGTGGCCTCCGGCGCCAGTCCCAGCGCGGAGGCACCGCACCGGCGCAGAGGTCCGCCATCCAGCCCTTGTTTTGTTCTCCCGAATCTCGGGTCCTTCTTTCCCGGGCAAACGCATTTGTGCGGGCAGGCGACGTGCGGCGGAGGTGGGGAGCTGGCAGAGGTAATAGGAGACATGAAAGGACACGTTCGCTGGGAGATTCCCCTATTCAGAGAACAAACCGCAGCAGAAATTGATTTTTTTCCCCCTGTTTACTCCAGTTTCTCCCCCCGACGCAGAGAAAAAAGGCCTTGCATCGCCATTACCTGCTCCGGAGCGCGAGTGCAATTTGCTGGATGCCTTTATTATTAACAAGGACAGAAAACTCTTTCCAATCACTCGGTCTTTGCTCTCTTTTTTCCCCCTTCATTCTCATTCTTTCTTCCTTTCCCGGGTTTTAAAGCGAAGGGCCCTGGCAGCGCGCTGCCGAGAGCCGATCAATTCACTCCTAATGGCAGCTCCCATGCCCTCGCATTCATCAGCCGGGCTCTTAAAGAGCATCCGAGGCTTCATGGACGACTTGGGGGAAAAAAAAAAAAAGCCCATTTGGAGGCGAGATCATATTTTCTCCGTCTCTTCCCCTTTTGTTCTTTATTTGCGGAGGACAAAGGCAGGCGCAGGCTCGAGGTGGGGAACAGGCAGCGGAGGCAGATGAATTCCAAAGAAACAAAAGAGCCTGTTTTCATGGAAATGCCCTGAAAAGGAGGGAGCAAATTTGGGGAGGGGGACACACAGAGCTGGGGAAAAAGCCGGGGGTGTGTGTGGTGTGGTGGGGGTGGTCGTGTTCAGTAGCGGCATCACGGTGTGGCTAGAGCAGGAAAAAGGAGAATAAACGCGGCTGGAAG